ATATCCGAGGGTATATCAACAAATCATCGATCAAAATTAGACTGTTAACGGCACATCCATTAATTAGGTTTTGTCAACGATTTTTACTTCAACAGAAATAAAATAGAGAGCTATGCGAAATACATACCGAATACATCAATTATACTTCGTCTGCATTTTCTTTAGTGGATTTTAATAATACGAACAATACCCGTGTGAGAAAGGTTCTTTCAAAATTTAACAACTCGTTGAAGCCATACTAGAAATTTGGTTACTTATTTTATATTCTTATTTTTATTTCTTATACCGCAAGAGGTACTTTTTAAATCCAAGATGGCCGCCGCAACAAAATGGCGGTTAACATATTTTTGGACATCCACCTCAATATGGGTATCAAATTAATGATATTACCTATAAAAAAAGAAATTGACTTACATTTTTTTATTACTTGATATAAGCTTCTTTTAACAAAGTTTAACAAATTAGGTTAAATTAGGACGTAAGTCAAAAGCTCGTTTGAGCACGACTTCGGCGCATATACTTGGTGATTGCACACGGGAAACTTATTTATAAAAAGATAAAACTTATTCTGACGCAAAGCAAACTTTCGCATTAATTGAATTTCTTCAGTGCCGCCTTCGAATTTTATAATAATATTTTATGTTAATCAAAATATTTTATTGCAATAAAGACAAAGTTATAAAGATCTATATAATACGAATACGACGAACTAAAACTGGAAAACAAATGGGGAATAATAGGAAAAAAATAAATTACGAGGCACAATGTAACCGCGTACCAACACTTGAGACTCTCATTCTAATGAAGGAACTTAGAATAAGTCCTAAAATTGTAAAGGTTGACATACACAGAATTAGTTGGATGTGTTTAAAATCATTCAACTTATTAGAATTACTTTGACTTTTAGGCACCGCATTTTTTTCTTAAATTTCCTGTACCTCAAATACTAAGTGACTACTTAAATATAGTACTGCATACAAGAATTACATTTTAACAGACGTGTTATGTTATTTATGATACACGGCGTTAATCAAAATCTAATTTGCAACTGCCTTATTAGTCACATTTGTCGAATTAATTAAATAACCACAAGCATGATACAGTCGAACTTGGATAGGCGAGAAACCTCCAGAAGCGTGTAATTGTCTAGTCCTGACGGACGACCTCCACAGGCTAGTAACTAGGAATAGAGAAATCTATGTAAACGAAAAAATTACCGAATTCCTTAGACTCTTGTTTATCCTGGTTCGACTGTACTCCTAAACATTCAATAGTTAGAACTCTAGTCATGTCTTTTGAGAAACACGGTGTGCTAACCTTTATGATGATACTCGTGGCTTGAATGATATTAATTGTATATTAGAAAGTCATAAAAAACACCACAACCTCGCTCGCTTTTTTCTTAATAATAAAGGTTTGCGATCACCTTTCCAATGTACTTCTTCCCAAAGATAAAAAGGTTTAAACTGGTATATTCATAAGAATAAACAAACTGATTCTGAAGACTTGCGATAAGTATATGGTAACTAATAGTAATTTACTTATTCTAACTTAACGCATTACAGCATTATGGTGAATGCACACTAATCGAAAACATATTAGTGCAATTAACGTTGTAGGGATTTAATGCTGAAAGCTATCTCCTATCCACAAACAGATAATGGACATCTTACAGGATTAAGGTGCAACGAAGCGTGATATTATACACCATAATTAATATTGCTGAGTTTAATTAATATTACCGAACGTTACCATTCAAAATCTGGACGATAATTGGGAATCTAACAAGACAGAAGAATGCCAATATGGTTTTGTGGATGAGTCATGCTAAGGAAAACCCAAGGTTAGATTTATTAATATGATGGTTGGTTGATGAGTTACTTGAGTCATGACAACACCAATAAAATATATACAGTGGTTGAAAAGAGTTTTACCTGCTTACTTATAATTTCACTATTTGTAAGGTAAATATCGTAAAAATTTAAGTCAAGTTAACTCAACAAAACTGTTTAATATTTAATATTCCGTCTCTGTGTATTGCAGCGCGCCGAATGTAGTTATTCTGTAACGTAAGTTCAGGATATTAAAAAGGAAGTCAATGTTATTGAACGTTAAATACAACTTCAGTTGGTTTTTTATCATTAATTTAAATAACTTAGCATTAAAATAACTTTAAAATATATCTATATGTCATCAAAGGTTTATTTGGAACCAAATAACCTTATATAATATGAGTATTGTAGAATGTTAATTATGTTTACCGACGATTCTTTTATCTAAATTTTTCTAACGAAAGAAAGATGTCCTTGATATTCATAAATGATTTCTAAATAGTCAATTGCTCGTCCGCTAAGAAAAGAATTATACGGTCTGTTTATGCGTCACATGGGATGAGATCAGCGTAATGACCAGCAAAGTGGGCGGAAGTACATTTCTAGTTGACAACGTGCTCAAGGGATTTCCTCGCGGTAGCGCTTAGTGATGTGAACTTAGCTTAAGCGCAACATTAGTTTATTACAATACTGTTCTTTAGGATACTATGATTAAAAATCATTTTCTTTTTATTTCATTGATAAGTTAAGAAGCAAAATATTTTGAGGAATAAATCATGAATTTATTCGTCTGGTAATCCCCTCAATAGAAAGTTAACAAATTGAATTTGGGATGGAACCTTACGTTATAAGGATGTACAAGTTATTCTATAAATAGTTGGTTTATGTAATATTTGGTCTAAACAGTTATTCGACTTATATATATACATACATATATACAATTATATATAAATATTTGTTAACATTAATTAAGCCGTGTCTATTTGAAATTCGCAGTAAACAAATAGCAAAATTGGTAATGAGAGCGCAACAGTGGATTTCACGATAATTTTGCGCCAAGGGATTTTCGCAACATTTAATTCGGGTTGACACTAAAACATTGCAACCAAACACAATGTAGCCGCGTAAATCGTAACATTATTACCTTTATTACCAAAGCCATCTTATGATATAAACAAAATTTCGTTAATACTATCTTTAAAAACACTTAGAAATGACTTACATTCTATTTCATAATACGTAGTGATATTTTCTTAATTAAATTTACTTGCCACCCGATTAAAACACGCGAAGAAAAATAAGTACTTGATCTGACGAAATGCAAATAAAGTTTTTCAATGCTAGTTCTCGTTAAGAAGGTGAGGACAAACTTAATACTAAATAGTGTTGAAAATGTCTACTAATTAAATTAAACTCACCCGAAGGTGAAAGAAATTTCCGAATTAAACTCAACTGAAACGTGAACTTTTCTAAAGATGCGACGCCGTGTAATATTACTGCGGAAATCGTGAAGATGCTGTTACCGGCACACAACTTGAAATATTCAAGTTGTTATGACTTCTTTTTGAAAATCAAAAATATATGTTCAATAGTTAGATCGCCTGGAGTTTACTTTCAAAGTTCACATGTTGGACTTGTAAATTTTAACGCATTAGTTATTTTAAAATCGTAAAGTTTTTAACAATTTCACATTGAAATAGTTGTAAGGTAAATATGTATTAATATGATTTAAATTTATTTTTCTTTGTATTTTACAATACATGCATAAAATAAAGTCAAGTCGTCAATTCGTTTGGATTACAAACAGCCACAAAGGAAATTATTTTTTATTATTAACAAAGGATATACACACACGTAACAATTAATACGAAAATCATCATGTTCCTGTCTGTCACGCTATAAAATATGCTACGCTCGCCGCATGTCCTAACGTCAGCGGTAGTTAATTGCATCTGTTTTTATCAGAATGTAAATCAATTTTCGTGCTAGCGGTATCGCCGCTCTAAGCGTAACTTCGTCAAGAGCGTTACTGAATTATTTACTTGACTAGGCACAGGCGTAGCTTCTACAGGATGGGAAACTTCATCGAAGGCAAATTCCGTTATGTACGTTCAAGGCATTGATGGGAATTGATTTAACTCTTGTAACTTGTAACCAAACAGGATACTTTCTGGCATGTTCATAAACGAATTAGGGTAGACAGAGTTAGTTAAACGTATCAGTGAACCAATAAACTTATTATTACTGATTTAAAATAAGAAAAAATATTTTTTTTTTCGAGGAAACTAAAGTAATAATTTGTCTTGTTCGAAAACCGTATGCTGCAACTTATTTATCTTTAATGATGATTTTTACAGTTTTTTTTTATTTTACTGTAACTTCATAAGTTACCGCTTCAAAAAGACGATGGAGAGAATAAGGATATCTCTTTTCATTTTGTCCTCTTTCCCGCCAAATTCACATCCTTTTCCATGCGTTCCTTTTTCGAAAATCGTGGAAAAAGGAGATCTAGTTGGATCTCCAGCTCCGCACTTAATGAAAAGCTTGGTATTTTTGGTAATACAATATGTGTTGCTTACATTATGCTATTATGTGATACTATACCACTTATATATATGATACTACAGTCCTACTGTTTTGTGGCTAAAAAAATATTAGTACGCAATATTATCTAATCAAATCCATACCACGTAAATAATTGTTAGTCAAACATTTACAATTAGCCCAGTATAATAATTACATTCCAATGTATACATTCAGTGGAAACATTTGTGACTAAACGTGTGAAAATTGAAAATAGATAAAGACATCACTGTTAGAGATAACAGATAAAACTATCAGATTATCAATATAAGTATAGAGATAACATTAAAAGGGCGAACATTTTAAAATATGGCGCGAATTTTTAAAAAAATCCAATGAAATGAATTTGATATTTATAAATGTTAATTATTATGTTTATAATCATTTTATTTTTATGTAATTCCATACTTATACAGTTAGCGTATTACTTATGAAAAATCATTTAAGTTTATGGAATTAAATAATAGTAATAGTATTATATTATCTGTGCTCACATGAACCAATAGAATAGTGTTGCGCGTATACTGATAATGTTATATCGTCACACTTCCTTTACTACGATTATAAGGTTTGTACAGGTGCGGTGTGGTGCGGTGTGGTGCGGTGAGGTGTAGTGCGGTGTAGTGCGGTGCCCAGTGTTAATGCTGCTGATAACAAATGTTCTCAAATACTTGTGCCACGAGAACTTCTTATTTTATGTGTCGTGTTATAAAATTTGTTTCCTCAATACTTAAGTGATGTTATGAAATTAAAATTAATCGATAATGGATAAATCAAAACACAAAACCGGAAAGAAAATGGATAAGAATAATGGTAAAGAAAAATCACCCCTGTTTGTGTCGGATGTGAAAAACTTAAAAGAAAATCTTAAAATTAAAGAAATTTTGAGAACTGTTAAAATGAATAGCAGTATGCGTTTGAAATCACCACAGAGCAGTAAAACGATGAACAATAAAGACCTCAATGACAACCATGATTGTTTTGAAAGTGCTTCGCAAGAACTACAAGAACATATGGTTGATGACACAAATCCAAGTGCAACAAATCATAATGTCATCACATCAACATTAAATGTAGATACAGAAACGAGTGATAACGATTTACAAAAAAATGAGGGCATCAAGGTCACTATTTATGAAGTATCAGACTGTACTGAAAGCAATGACAGTTCACAGTCAAACACAATATCACAAAATTGTAGTGACTCTAAAGAATCGAATATTAATGATGAAAAAACAGAAATGAATAATATCGACACCAAAGTAACCTCTTCACCGAAACCAACTAATAATGTTGCAACTTTAAAACCAAGAGATAGAAAACTTTCGTTAGATCAAACAATTCTATCGAGACGTTCAGGCTTATCACAGTCAGAGTTAGATTTAAATTTAATTGGTAAATCTCCATTAGAGCGAAAGTCCTCATTCTTTCGGAAGAAGATGGACAATTTTCTTAAAAATACCACAGAAATATTTAAAAGGCAGTCACAAAGTGTTAAATCACAACCTACACAGCGAAGAGGGTCAAAGTCGATTTCTTTACAATCTCTTAACGACAAATCTTATCCTAGCAATGGTTACAATAACGACGGCACATTGCAGATTCCACAGGTAAGTCTTCCAATCAGGTCACGTAACATAATTAATTACACTGCCATATGTGACCTTTGTTATAAATACAATCACACATAATGCGTTTACCTTCAATTAGATTGAAACATTGCCGACTATTTGAATTATGCACCACTTATGTATGTCCAAACATTGTCGATGTAATTAATAATCACTGATAATTGAATAGTAAGCTGTATCAGAATAATATCGAATCGTGGAGTAGTTGTGTTACATAAACGGTTCGGTTTTATAATTATACTAGCTGTCGCCCGCGACTCCGTCCGCGTGGATATGTAAAAAAACTTTATTAGTGTAGCCTATGTGTTCTTTCAGACTATGTTCTATACGTATGCCAAATCTAATCGAGATCTATTCAGCCGTTTTAGAGATGTATTCAAACACCCATCCATCCATTCACATCACATCCACATAAACATTTGCATTTATAATATTACTAAGTTAAATAAAAAGCACCTCTTCAAAGGCATAAATCGAAAAAAAATGAATGAATACTATCCTATGTCCGTCTCCTGGCTCTAACCTACCTCCTCACCAATTTTCAGCCATATCGATAAAGCCGTTCTTGAGTTATAAATAGTGTAACTAACACGACTTTCTTTTATATAAATAATAGATAGATATATATTCTTTTGTTTTTATGACTCTGATACTATTATAAATAATAGAAATCACTTTACTGCTATAATATTATTACTGCCAACTTCGCCCCTGTGTAGTTAAATGTCTCTAACAAAATTTCTTTGTTTCAAGAAACAAATTTTGTTTGTTGATGATCCGCTTTCATGTATTTGGTGTCACCACTGTAAAAAGTCTAAATATGTAAATGTAGCTATTGATTTAAAATGTAAAAAAAATAAAAAGCACTAAATCGTTGCATAAACTGAATATTTTATAAATACTATTTCTATTTAAAGGATATTAGAAACAGCGCAACAAGTCTGTCGACAATGGCGCGGAGTTCGTCGGTGGCGAGTAGTATAAGTCCTGAGGGAGTTGAACAAGATAGCCCGTCCGGCAGTCAAACCGTTCTGTTCGCAAGTCAGCCACTTGGAGATTACTCTTCAAATAGTGTTAATAGTTAGTATCAAGAAGAAATTGTCTCGTCTAACATTTTTGATAAAACATAGAACATTATGTTGCTCTTTATATCTTTATTAAAATACGATGCATTGTTATATTGCATTACATATGCAAATGCATTAAAAACAAGATTTTCATCAATGTCAGCTTTGTAAAAATTTCTTTTGTTCTATTTAAATTTAGTTTTAAATTGGACTTTTCTACGACAGTAACATGGCAACAGATTTCATTTTCTGTAACTGATTTGTAAAAATATTAAATATGAACCTATTTCTTTTCGTTATAACCAAATAGAGATTGGACAAATGTTTTTTTTTTAAATAATTTCTAGATTTGAACGAGCCGTATGTACAGGATTCGCTTTTGAAATCCCGAGCAATATCGATGAGCTCTGGTTTAGACGCGCCACAGGGGAGACTACGACGGAAAGCATCAAAATCTAACAGGTAAATGATGGATCGCCTTTAAACACAAATATATCAGTGTCTCCTTCCTTGTTGCCAACCAAAAATAATGGTATTAAGTAACACTTTAATGGTTTTAATAACTTCAAAAGAATTTTAAATATAACACACGATTTATTCTATTACACTTAAGATGTTATTTTCTAATATTTATATGGTAATTGTTAAAACTGTCTAAAGAAAGCGATTATCTAAGCAGCCTACTAACGGACCCTTCCGTCGAGATTTATCCAAAGAAGGGTGACCGAGAAATTGAATGAGTATTTTCATTATTTTGAGCTAACGCATTCATTGTTGTAACAGAAATTGTCTGCTGTATCAATGTTTCTAAAATGGAGTTTGGAATAAAATCTTTGTTATTGCATTTTATACTTTCATTAAAAAATTTTGCTTATCAAAAAATCTTAAAAAAGGTTAATTTTCTTATATCAAGTTAATGACTTATCAAGTATTTCTACTAGTAGTACTTTTGTATTTCATCCTTTAGGTAGGTAGACTTTCTCGGTTCGAACAAAGAAAAATATTTCTTTATTAAAACTATATGTTTTCACGCCCCAGCGCAGAAATACCAGGCTTTCTCCTTTGAGTGTTGGCTTCGTATTGCATTACTTGAACAATCATATTTCTATTTGTCATTTCAGTGGCTCGATCGCCATCACATACCGTAGATATGAGTTTATTGCCTCACATAACAAATATGAGCCCGTATTTATTGTCAAATAAATTGTGCAAACGGGTGATTAACGATAAAGGCTGTCGCGTGGCGCTAATTGTGAAGCGATAAAAACGTTTTTACTACCCAACTCGTTCTATGAAAGCTTTGTATTCAATCGTCGCGCCTATGAAATCTTCAATCTACAAGCTACAGCATATCAAACTTCATATACAATTAAGTTATCTTTTTATACTATTATGTGGCAAACGAGCAAGCAGCCACCTGGATTCAACAAATAGCCAAGCGACCGCTTCCCACTGACACCTTTACCGTTTACCTTTAACTGACGGAGGAGGAGTCGCATAGACAGAAGAAACATTCTGTTTTCTCCGTGAAATCCTCTTCCCCTACCTATCATTACCTTAAAAGAACAGGGTGGGAAGAAAAATAAGACTAAAATTCGGCCTCCGCTATTTATAATACTAGCTTATTATTATATCAATTTTAGATACGCAGAAGGAAACTGATATAAAAAACGAGGAAAGTAGGTATGGCGTTATTGTAAACGCGTGGGCATCATTTGAGATCACCCGAGCATTACATATTCTATTGAAATAAATATTTATTCAAATTAAAAGCAAACCATTTAATATTCAGACTAGACTGATTACAGGTCGCGACAAACTTCAATATTGTTGACGTCATCTTCGTCTACAATAAAATTATACAGTCATTAGCATGTGTGTGACGCACACTCTTAACATTTAACCCTTACAGTAACATCTTATATAGGCACTAGCTGTCGCCTGCGACTCCGTCCGCGCGGAATGAAAAAAAAACATAGTAGCCTATGTGTTCTTGCAGACTATGTTTTACATGTATGCCAAATTTCATCCAAATCCGTTCAGTCGTTCTGGAGACACCATCAAACAAACATCCATCCATCCAACCAAACATTCGCATTTATAATATTTATAATAGTAAGAAGTAAGATTAACTTCAAAAGAAAATTATTTCTATTTTTACATCGAAAATATCACATAATGAGTAATATATTCTATACAAAATAAGCCTTCAATAAAGCTTAGAATCTTGTGTACAATTTTTGTAACTACGATATAAAATGTCTTTAAATAGATTTTCACATAAGTCAATTGATTTTCCAGAGTCACGTGGTTAGCAAGCGAAGGTCTTACGAACTACTTCAAACGGGTGATGCAAGATGAAAAGAGTCGGGAGGTCCAATCATGCCACTCGTACCAGGACTTTTCAATAATACCAGAGCATGCGTCATATGGTCCGGCAACTGACAGCAAGGGACGCCGGCTGTCGTACCAACGCGCTGTTTCAGGGGAAGATCCTGTTCTACCAACGAGGTATTACGATTCATCACAGAGGAGAAAGAATTTCATACCGGAACATCAAGTGGTCAGTATATTGTACTATTTTATTTAAATAAGCACTCACGTCCATTACTAACAGGTAGCAATTCTAACACACATATCTTTCCCACGCATAATGTACGCCTATACATCCTTCGTAATGACCTAAGATGAAGGACTAACAATGGTGAATGTCTAGACAGCTTGATCTATCTAAGTTATCATTAATAAGTATTTCATTAACTTAGCTTACTTTTAAGTAAAGTAACTTAAAACTTGGCTAAAACTGTTTATAATAGTGCACAAACAAATTAGTCTTACCTTTATATAAATTAATTTAGACTTAGTTAAAGCTGATTAATTAAATTGCTATAGTTAAATTTTGGATCAAAGCAATTATATGTAATCTAAATAGGATTCATTTGGGATAAATTCGCGAGCGCATTAGGTGTATTTTTATGTTGTGACGTCACGTATGTTTATGCGGCTATCGCGTGCCACACGCACAACCTGACTTGTCTCCTACTCTTTCAGGGCCTACGTTAGGTTCGTTTTTATTGACTTTATTGATTCCACATGGTTAAAAAATAAACAACTTTTCTTGCGCGAATTTGGGATTTTAATAAGAAGAAAACAAACGCCATAGTTACACGCCAAAGTCAAAGTAATTATGAATCTATAATTGTCCATTGGCGTCGATGAACACCTCGGTGTTCCCACTGCTCGTTTGCTACTCTTATAAAAAGTAATCTTTAAAAAAATGTCAAAAGCACAATATTTTTGACAAATCTATAATAATCACAAGTTAATTGAACGAAATACGGTTATTCCAAAGCTTAGTTTGAGTGTTAAAGAGATTTAAAACTAAATATGAAATATTGAATATAAAGTAACATTGACTTGGATTTTTTTAATGTTACAAGAGAACTTCAGTCTTGGAACTTTATGACAATTGATAACTTATAGTGGTGGCGAAAGTTTCCAATTATTAACTTCCAACAGAAATTCGGAAAGAAGGTAGAAAACGGGAGCACGTGACATAAAGAGTAATGGAAAACTCCATTGTGAAACGTAACATTTGTACCACGTGACTTATTAAAACATTTTAATTTCCATCCAAAAAAAAAACTTTTCATTTAAAGTAAGTAGTACACTTTAAAATCGCAATAACATAAAAACCATTTTACGGCTTTCATCAGTTTTTTTTTTCACAAAGCAAAAGTTTAATTTGTATTAAAACTTCAGCGAATGAATGAAATACATTGTTAACGTTTCAGAATTTGGACAACATAGAAATGAATCTATTAAATAAACCAAGTCAATTTTCTGATTTGTTCGTCTTTCATAGCAAATAAGAGTATTGAACAAATTTTGTTTATCTAATAATTACTTTAAGTGCCATTAATTTACCTGTCTAGACAGACTCCCTTCTTCTCAAAATATTATAACCAATGATTAAGGTACGCATTTATATTGCGTACCAGTGTATCGTTTACAATTACACAAAATTTTGATGTATTTCAAAATAAATAATTTTATGTTATACAGAAACAATAGAAAATTAGAAAAATTAGGTACATCGTAATATTGCAAAACGACATAACACATTCTATAAAATATCTCAAAATAAGATAGTCGAGTTACCTACAAATTACCATTTAGCACGGTCTTGGCACACGTCTCTTGCCGCTTCCACTATTATACATCTACGCATATGTACATAGTATCTAGGCACGAGTATTTTTAAAACCTTAGAAGTGAATTTATAATAAAAAAAACAATTTAAAAATGAACATCTTATTAAAAAAATATATAATAAAGGAATAATATTGTCGCAATAGACTTACAGAATGTAGACAATAAGGCTATATCTTTATAAGAAGCCGATAGCTAACGACATAACCCTTTCACCTTAACTGACAACCCAGACAAGAGCTGGCGTCGTTTATCCTGCACACATTTACCTTAGATAAGACAAATAATTATTTTTATACACTAGCGGTCACCCGCAACTTCATCAGTGCAGAATTAAAAAAGTAGCCTATAATATATACGCGTGCATTCGGTTACTTTCCCGTCGATGGCCTGTCAAAATCGGTGTAGCGTTCCGGATATTACCCGGAACAAACGCGACCTTGCGGACAGACATACGGACAAAAATTTTAATAATTGGTTTTTCGTTATCAGCCGCGTATAATCATCAAAATACATTATTTAGACGAAATATGTTTTTTTCACAATATTACAAACAGTTCAATTTTATTAATATGTATATATTAAAACTAATTTCATTGTGTGCATAAAAAACATGTTATTCGTTTTTTAAATGGTAGCTTCGTGCTGCTACGAGCTACGTAAATGCGTCATTCAATGCTACAAGTAAGTCGTAGACGTAAATAAATATGACAAACGCATTCAATGTTTCTTATATTCTTTTACGTCTAGAATTTTTTTTGTCATTTAAAATAACATGTTGTTATCAGCAATTATAAAATTTTGTAATTATTATAATTAAATACATATGTACATAAATAATTAATTAAACAAATATATTCTTGAGCAAGCAGTATTGTACATTAAAACAAATACTTAACTAGTTTAACTTAGTGATAAGTCACAATTTAAATTTATGCAGAACAGATTCACACTATAACATAGTTTTGTTATAAATAACAAAGGGATAGAACATTTTAATATCACCGCAAAACATTTAACAAGGCTGTAAGTCACAGTTCTAGATATACTTGATAACTTTCAAACTCACGAATCCAAGATCACAACCCCGATCTATTGCATTCGCGGCAAAATTCACCAAACTTCCGTCTCCCATTATGTTGACAGCGGGAAGACTACGCTTAAATGCAGTTCAAATGTTTGTTAAATAAGATTTCAATTATTTTTAAAACATTATTTCTTTGAGAGATTCTTGTAGATTTATATTGGGTATCAAAAAATACACCTTTTATTAAAAATTACTCTACAAATATGTCCTTATTTCAATCATGTGTGGTCAGCGCATAAGGTTTTACAGAAGAGACTTTGGCAGCCCTACTTGGAAGGAATAAATAAAAATTAAACATTTATTTAATCACGCTACAAAAATGACGCGCATATAATATCTTTTTCTCGTCTGCTGCTGAATTAAATTTTCGCGGGCTTCTAGAACCTGCGATTGGATTAAAAAAAGATGTAGGCGGGCTGGAAGAAGAGTGGTCCTTTGCGCAGGTGGTTGGCGCAATCAAGCCACCGAACGAGACTTCGAAACTCCCCACTATCGGTGGAGCAGAGCTAGACTACGGACGCGTTACAAATCATCCCTCTGCGACTTTCACGAACATTACCAGATTTTTTTTTACATTTGAATTTGGAAAAAGTTGAAATGATTTTAATTAAAATAAATTTTTCTTGTCTTGTACCCAAAATCAATCCGCGACGTTTTTCATCAAACATTGTTAAGAAGTAATTTATACCAATGGGACATTTTTAGTTTTTTTTTTAGTTTATTTTTATAGTGCGCGTTTTTTTTGTTTTGGCGGACGCGGTTAAAGTTGCTGTATTTTGTTGGTAAGTATGTTGGTGGAAAGGTAAGTAGGTAGAAAAAGTTTTTGCGAACTGTTGTTGTAGGTATTAGTTGGGGTGAGTTCAAATGCCGCGTTATTACCGCCAACTTTGGCGCGCCTCATGAAATCAAATTTCGTAGCAACTGATGGTGATAAAAATCTGTTCTATATTGATTCAGGCCAAGGTTTATTAATTCTGTGGGTTAAGTAAGCTCAAAACATCCGCTTTTATAATACATCCGATTGTTGTTCGCAAAAACTTTGATAAAAATTGAAATTTGCGATTTTTTTTAAAATTTTCAGATATGTTCGAGAGATATAATTACAGAATTGTTCTTTTTATATATCCAATTCAAATATAATATTTATAATGTATTAAATGTAATTTTTACAAAAAAAATTATTCAGAGAATCGTTGATAATTATTTGCCGTCGGACAATACATTACACGCCAAAATGAAAAATAACGCAAGCAACATTTAAAATAAACTACACTGTAAAATGTTTAGCTAAAACATAAGAAATAAACACGTAAAAGTTAAAAAGTCCAGCAGTATTATTCCGTGATTTAAATTTAAAAAAAATTGCCGACGGACTTCAAAATATTCCAAAAGCACATAGTTAACTGAAAGATCTAGCCGTCGGACATAAAAATTTTGCCAAAAGTAAACACTAGGCTACAATTATTACCGTCGGACTTAAAACCCTGGCTTAAGAAAACTCCAGACTACAATTATAGCCGACGGACAAATATTTATTGGTAATAGTAAAGTTTATACTACAGTTATACGTAAATACGTCCAGTAACTTTGCGCAATAGGAATAAAAATATTTTACCGTCGGACTTCAAAATATTCACAAAAGTAAATAGTTAACTTAAAAATATAGTAGTAGGTGATAAAAATATTAGCATAAATAAATTTTAGGCGACATTTATTGCCGTTGAATATAAAACATCTACGCGAATAAACTTTAGGCGACAATTATTTTCATCGTACATGAAATAATGACAGAAGAAAACTTTACACGGCAATTATGCCGACGGCTTTTAAAAATTTTAGGCGACTGCTATTGGCAAAGGATTATAAAAATATTTGCACAGGTCTACTTTAGGCGATAATTATTCCCGACGGCTTAGGAGAATATTTTCAAGAGAAAACTGTAGGTGATAATTTTTGCCGACGGCTTATAAAAATGTTTTCAGGTGTAAACTAAAGTTGATTATCTCTTAAAGCAATGATTATCGCCTAAAGGCGATAATAATTACTCGACGGCTTAGAAAAATGTTTTCAGGACGAAACTTGAGGTGATAATTTTTGCCGACGGCTTATGAAATTATTTGCACAGGTCATTTTGAGGCAATAATCATTGCCGACGGCTTATGAAAATATTTGCAAAGGTCACGTTTAGGCGATAATAATTGCTCGAAGGCTTAGGAAAATGTTTTCAGGAGGAAACTTTAGATGATAGTTTTTGCCGACGGCTT